TCCCTAGCTCAGCCCCTCTATAAAGAGTCCAAGGGCTCCTTGTCAGAACCTCAATCCTGCTACTCCTATACGAACCTCTTGTCACAAACTACAAGAGGCTCTTTTAAGAGCTTGACTCTGACTCTCCAAAACCCACTCAACTCTTTACTACATACACTCCCTCTGAAGGTCACAATGCTGTGGGGGTTTAGGATCCCAAAAGGGACCTTTATTCCAAACAGTAGCATACCTCTCAAAACAGACAACACTGTACATGGATGAGCCCTCTGTCCTGCTGCAGGTAGCTATCTTAACACAGCTGGCAAAATGTTCACTTTAGGACCATCCATCACAGTATACTCACCTCATCGTCTCAATGAGCTCATCTCTCACAAGACACTCTCCACCTTAATAACTCCTTCTCGCTTACAACAGGTTCATCTAACACTCATACAAGACCCTTCCATTCATATCTCCACCAGTGGTCCCCTCAGCAAGCCACTTCACTTCCCATCTCTGATGAGATCTCTCACCATAACTGTATTGAGGTCTTACAGATGGCCCCTACTCCTGTCCCTCACATTAATAGCACTGTTCTCCCTACAGCTTCTGCCACATGGTTCATAGATGGTAGCTCAACCAACACAGACATTCAATAGAGGACACGATATGCCATAGTCAGCAGGTCAACACTGATAGAGGCAGGCCCATTGCCACCTGGGACATCTTCACAAAAGGCTGAGCTGATAGCCCTCACATGAGCCCTCACACTTGCCAAAGACAAAATCATAACCATTTTCAAAAATGCACAATACACATTTGGTATTGTCCACTCTCATGTTGCCATCCGGCAAGAAAGGCGGTTCATCAGTGCTCAGGGTACTCCTATCACCAATGCATCTCTCTTCCCCAAACTTTTAGAGGTGGCACAGCTCTCAAAGCAGACAACACTCATTCACTACAGGGGACACCAAACACCAGTAGATCCCACTGGGCACGGTAATGCTTTTGCTGACACACAGGCCAAACTAGCTGCTTAATAGCCATACCCTTCCCACTT